GAACAATAATCAATTCAAAAACATTTTTGCTTAGCAGTGAATCAGCGTTTGCAATTCGTTCCGGTTTCGATAACCACCCCCTCCCGCTCCTCACAATAGGGTACATCGCATTTTCACATATTTGGTTTCCTGTCGGCATCAAATACTAATCATTACGATTTTGGTCTTCATTGCTCATGTACTTATTGCGTTGTATATAACTAGCCGAGTGCTTTTTCTTCTATCATTATTAAACTTTCGATTGCATTCCTGACGTCTTAGCATGTTTTCAATGCGTTCTTTCTAAAAGTCTTTTTTGCATCTTTTTCTCAAAGGTATAATGACTAGTCTAATGTAAATTACGAGTTCATATGAAGTATTACTTAATCATTCAAGCCGGTCCGTATCGTCGCATAATCCATTTATAGTATTTCGGCATACATTACGTTTATGTAGAACAAGTCTTTTTTTCAGGTTGGCTACGAGGACTACACAGAAGTCATTGTCAACGAGACACTCAAAAGGAAGGCGATTCTGCTAGAATTAAGTGGTTTTCGTTCGGCTGACGCGAACAGAAGAAAAATACGCGCATGGAAGGAAGTCCAAGATGTTGTGTTGCTGAAGTGCAGGAAAATGATGACGTTGGATCAAATTAAACGCGTATGGCGAAACAAAAAGGCGCACGTTAGGGACACGCTATTGAAGGAGAAAAGGTAATGCCTCTAGAAGAGATCAATACAGTATCTAACACATATGTTATAGATATCGGAGTGCCACAGGGGGTGGACTCGAGCTGCCTCTGGAGCGTGCGATTTCAAGCTGTGCAAAATCTTTTACTGAAGCGGAAATCGCTTTGGCGAACGCATTGGGGCGAGAGGCTGTTATGAGCGGCCTGGGCAAAATGGAAACATTTGTGGATAAGGTAAAGTGCTTTACACTTAAATGGTATCTCATCATGCCAAACAACTCTTTAGGCCGGGACAAGCGACGGGTCGCCCAGTTCAAGGGGTGGGAGGGACCGGGAGGAGGAGGAAAAGAGGGGTGGAGGAGGGGCTTGTCTAGAGAGGGAGGAAAAGAGGGGTGGAGGAGGGGCTTGTTTAGAGAGGGAGGAAAAGAGGGGTGGAGGAGG